TTGGTTTTTGGTTTTTTTGTTTTTTTGCAGAGGTGCAGGAGTTGTCCTTGGTGTGTTAGTCTTCTAGATGCATGTTTAGGTATTGGGGGAATCTAGTTCCTTTTTGTTTTACAACTAATATTGCATTTTAATTATTGTTTTGTAATCTCTGTGTATTGCAATCGGTGAGCTCCTGCTTTTCAGGGCTCTTATTTACAAGGTCATCATTAGAATAAATTTAACCTGTGTGAGCGAACATCACACAGGTTGGCAGTTGATTGATATGCTGGGCTCAACTCTTGTCTTCAGTTACACCTGCAGCTCCTGTTGAAGCCAATGGCAGGGGTGTACATGTTGCTGAGAGCAGGGCCTGGCCCAGTGTATTTCCTTTCTAGGAACACAAAGGATCTAATAACAAATAAAACTCTAAAGCTGATCACACAAGTGTAATGGAGTGTTAGAAAGGAACCCACCATGCATTGATTTGTTGTATGTTGCGGTTTATCATGTTGGAGCGTTTTGTTTTTTATAGCACCTTTGCTTATGAGGAGTTTTGGTCTAAGTATAAAAATGTAAGTAAAATATGCTGTTCTCTTGCCAGTCTTACTCACATTAAAGATTTATGTTTGTGGCTTGGAGTGGTACTCTGGCTTTTGTATACTAGTCTAGTATCTGCACCCTGCTGATGTTGCACTGACATGGTCCCTTTTAATGGATCCCAAAGCCATTGACCTGACCAGTAAATTCTGCAAATTACTTGGTCACTGTAAATTTTGGAAAAATCGTTTCATAATCACTCTAGAGACCAGCACTGGCAGCAGTCCTGCTCTACGTCATGGGGAATGCAATGCCTCTTGTGTATGCAAACCATTGCTGCTTTTATATTTAAATGTTTGGAAAACTGTAAGATTGAAAACAAGCTGTTGCATAGGAATGGGTGCAGCTTCCTTTACGGTGCATTTCCAAATGCTGAGCTACTGCCACCTGCTGGAGTGAGTGCTCAATGCGTAGAGACTCTGTGAATTGCAATTCAGGGCAATTCTTTATTGCATTGGCCAGAGCTGGTTCCTGTCTCTGTTACCTACCTGTTGCTGTCACCCCATCCAAAAGGGCTGTTACTGTGCCTTTCTGCAGCACATGCTGATCAGTATTATGTTGAAGTTTCAGTGCCAGTGTATTCACCATACTTTACCTATAAATAAAAGGAGGGAACTGTTGGCACTTCAAATGTTTTACTAAGCAAATGAAGTAATGCTGATACTTTTCCTTACTAACTAGCTTGGCATGTGTATATGGTGTGACACTGTGGTTGAAACTAGCAAATCCGTGCAATACTGCAGCTTTCAAATACACTGAGCAAGGATTCTGCTAGAAACGCTGAGGTGAGTGTCAATGCTATGACTTGCGTACTGTTCTCCTGGCCAGTGTGATTAGCTGCACTTCCGCTTTCCTTCTCTTATCCTCTCAGCTCCGCGCATGTGATGACTACTGCTGAGGGGGTTAATACATAAGATACCAACCTAAATATCCAGGTCACCACCTATCATGGGGGGGGAGCTGGTAGTTGAGGAATTGATCTTCAGCTGGAACTGATCTGGCCTGCCTTTAAGCTTTCAGGTACTATCTAGCCTGGGACTAGAACTTAGAGACTTATTTCATCTTGTGCATGCCACTGCCCCTTTCTCAGATAGGGCATTTTAACTTAAGCTCTGTCTATGCACTTAGATATGCACGCCAGCTTGCTGCAAACTAACTTGCACTAGCCAGCTGTACATTAACTGTCCCTGTGGACCTGGCAGCTGTGCACTCAGAGTTCCCTAGTGTGCTCTTATTTACTCCCATTCAAAGCAGTATATATTATAGTGACAACAGGACTTCTAGGGCGGAGTTGCAGAGTCCGTGCAGATAGTGCAGAGCAGGCTAGATTTACAACCCAGCTTGCCGAAAACTAAGTGTTCGGCTACACAAGCCCCTAGTGAACTGTGTCCAGTTGTGATGCCCACAATTCAAGAAGGATGTTGATAGAATGACGCTCGAAAGCTTGTCTCTTTAACAGAAGTTGGTCCAATAAATGATATTATGTGTGTGTCTCTTGTATCCCAACACCAACATGACTCCACCAATACTTCAAATGTTTGCTCTCTTATATTGGATCTCTGCAGTGAAAGGATACATTGAAGCTTAAAACAGTCTTTCAGCACTCACTCGTGTTGCTGGAACTGCCAGTACAATTTGTGCCAATTGATACAGCTTGGACATGCCATTTTTATGATGTCCCCAGTAGTTTAATATGTTTGTTTTTCTTATTGAGAAATAGCTTAGCCGTAAATGAACCAAGAACTGTCCCAATCCTTTTTTGCACTTTCCTTCGTCCAGATAGCTCTTCCTTTTTGGAGATTTTCATGAGCTTTAAGAAGTTTTTCAAATCATCATTTGATATTTCAATTTCAAATGTGTCCGACATTGATTCAATGACATCATTATTGCAATGTTGGCAAGAGACCAGGCTGTCTGGAAAAGGTGATGTGAAGTGGGCACTCTGTGCTCCATGAGCAAGAGAAATGAACAAATGAAACATTTCCATTTTTGTTCACCTTTTGGGTAAATTAAATGTTGCCTTGGTTTTGTCCTCCTCTGACAATAGGAGTTGATATCAAGGTACATACATGAGAGAAGATACAATTTTCAAAACAGGTTTGTTCTTGTTTTTTCACTGAAGACAGTAAAAAGAGAAGAGACTTGATGTTTCCAGTTTGCATTTTAACTCCGTATCATAAAAATCAACCATGTTCAATTCATATTGGATTGTGGGTCAGACCAAAGGTCCATCTACCTCAGTATCCTGTCTTCCAATAGTGGCCAATGCTAGGTGCCCCAGAAGGAATGAACAGAGCAGATAATCATTAAGTGATCCATCCCCTGTCACCTGTTCCCAACTTCTGGCAAACAGAGGCTAGGGACACCATTCCTGCCCATCCTTGCTAATAGCCATTGATAGGTCTATCCTCTATGAATTTATCTTGTTCTTTTTTAAACCCTGTTTATCTTGGCCTTCACAACATCCTCTGGCAAAGAGTTCCACAGGTTGTGTGAAGAAATACTTTCTTTTGCTTGTTTTAAACCTGCTGCCTATTAATTTCATTTGGTGACTCCTAGTTCTTGTGTTATGAGAAGGAATAAATGCTTCCTTATTTACTTTCTCTACACCAGTCATGATTTTATAGACCTCTATCATATCCCCCTTTAGTCTCTTTTCCAAGCTGAAAAGTCCCAGTCTTTTAAATCTCTCCTCATAGGGAAGCTGTTCCATACCCTGAATCATTTTTGTTCAGAAAAGGGCAACCTTTTCCAATTCCAGTATGTTTTTTTGGAGATGGGGCGACCACATCTGCATGCAGTATTCAAGATGTGAGTGAACCATGGATTTATATAGAGGCAATATGTTTTCTGTCTTATCTATCCCTATCTAATGATTACCAATATTATTTTGTTTGTTTTTTAGATCTCAAGCTTTACAAGTTATGGCAGAGATTGCACATTTCTTCAACGGCAAGTTGCAAGTGTGTGGGCAGAATAGTGTACTCCTTGCAGTGTTACATCTATTTCCTCCTAAGTCTAGCTTCTTCAGCCACATGAATCAAATCAATTCAGTCTTGGTCTGTATCTTTTTGAGCAGCTTCCCTGAAGAGTAAATTCTGTCGTTCCTCCCCCGTCCCCCTTTGAGTTTGTTGTGCTTATTCTTCAATTTCCTGGTCCTCATTAACTTCACTGTTTTTCACCATGTTTGCTCCATTACTGTAATACTACATGTGTGCCTTGGAGTGATTCTATATACAGCAACAACTTTGAATATGTAAAATCAGGTCTCAGAGTAACAGCCCTGTTAGTCTGTATTCGCAAAAGGAAAAGGAGTACTTGTGGCACCTTAGAGACTAACCAATTTATTTGAGCATAAGCTTTCATGAGCTACAGCTCACTTCATCGGATGCATCTGATGAAGTGAGCTGTAGCTCACGAAAGCTTATGCTCAAATAAATTGGTTAGTCTCTAAGGTGCCATAAGTACTCCTTTTCTTTATGTAAAATTAGTTATTCTTAGAGGTGTTGCTCCTCTATCTCTTTCTTGTTTTATAAGGCAAATAAGAGCAGTCGTTTTTTTAAACTAGTGAGCTTAAAAAAATATTTTAACCATAAGCTTTAGTTCTGCTTTAAGTAAAAATATTGGTTTGAAGGGGTTCTGGTTTGACTTGCTGCCCTTAAAATAATCACAACCCAGTAGCAGGAAGAGGGTGGTGTGCGGTCAGTGCTGCACTCCTGGCCAGTTCTCTCGCAGCACCGTGCTGCATGTTCTCTGCCCTGCGGAGACACAAAATTATTCCTGCTTCCTAAACTCCTAGTAATCTGGGCCCAAGAGTTCTGCAGCCCCGGGCAGAGGTTTCTTAGACCAAGTGGCAGATGGTCACAGAGGGGAAAAACACAGTTCGACTTCCACTGCAGCTGGGGCTGACCCCCGTTGCTGCTGCTTTGTGGTGCCTGCCCCAGCTGTTCCCCTCTGGCCCCGGCGCCGGAGGTGCCCACGCTAATCAGGCTCCTATTCAGGCACCACCAGGGCCCAAGGAGCTTGCAGATGAGCGTTGCCAGTTTTGGCTGGAGGTACTCCTGGAGATTTCATCACATGACATCATTTTAATTCCTGGAGACTCCAGGCCAATCCTGGAGGCTTGGCAACCCTACTGCAGCTGATGAAATTCGGGCTATGTTTAACCAGAGTGCGCTTAGCCTGCGGAACTCCCCGGCACCAGCTGCCACAGGCCCCAGGGCTGGAAGAGCGGCCGCTGCCCTGGTCCGAGCCCGCCCCTAGAGGGCCCTACGCTCGCACGCGCGGCTCCAGCTGGCTGCCGAGCACCTGGGCACTCCGGTCTCGCGCAGGCGCACATCTCAGACGCCCAACTCCGGGGACAGAGAACCTGAGAGGACCAGAATCGGAAATGGCGTCATGCCCATAGCGGGGCGGTGTTAGATGTGATGCTTGCGGAGCCCCACCCCTTCCGGCGGAGACACGCCCCGGGGCGGAGCCAAGAGGGGAGCCTGAGCTGATGGGAGGCCGGCTGGCAAGCAGCGAAGGGTGAGTGTGTGCGCGCGCGCGTGCGCGGGGGGGATACGGGACCCCCACCCTGCGGCAGGGCCCTGCCTGCGTGAGGGGGTCAGAGCTAGCCCCGCCCCCACAGGCTGTACTGGGGAATCCCTGTGTGCGAGGTTGCAGGGCTAGCGCTAGCCCCACAGCCTGTACTGGGAGGTGTAGGACTAGCCCCACCCCCACCCCCATAGGCTGTATTGCAGGGGGTCCCTGTGCACGGGGGAAGTGGTGTTGCAGGGCTAGCCCCACCCCCACAGCCTCTACTGGGGAGTCCGGGGGGGGGGGGGTTGCAGGATTAGCCACACCCCCATATAGTCTGTACTGGGGCCGTCCCTGTGTACAGGGGGGTGGTTGTAGGGCTAGCGCTAGCCCCCCCCCCACAGGCTGTACTGGGGGGTCTCTGTGTGTGTGGTGGGGTGCTGGACTTCCCCTACCCCCTCACGGGCTGTACTGAGGGGGTTCCCTGTATTTGGTGGGGTACAGGACTAGTGCCACCCCTGCACAGGCTGTACTGGGGGATCCCTGTGTGGGGGAGTGTGTGTGTTTGTGCAGGACTAGCCCCATAGCCTGTACTGCGGGGTCCCTGTGCCGGGGGGTGCAGGGCTAGTTTGTACTTGGGGGGGAGGGGGGATCCCTGTGTGTGGGGATAGTTTAGGGCTAGCCGCACCCCCTACAGCTTGTACTGGAGAGTTCCTGTATGTATGGGGAGCAGTGCCGCACCCCTTACAGCTTGTACCTGTAATGACTGGTAATTATGACTCTGTGTGTGTAGGGGAGTGGACAGTGCTATTCCACCCTTCTCTACAACTTTTTTGGGGGGCGGTCCCATGCCTCCCCTGTATGGGGCTTGGCCCCTTTTGGTGACCCTCCCGTGCAGGGTCCTTCCCAGCCCCCAGGGCCCCTGAGGGCATGAAATTTACCAGTATGGGGCTTGGTGGGGAGGGGCAGCACCCACAGTGCCCCGTATGCTGGGGAGTGGCGGGACTGCAGTGGATAGCTGGTTCTTTGGGGCCCTCTGGAAAGTGGCCACAGACACCCATCACCAGGCTTCAGCAGTTTGTAATGCACCCTGTAATGCTCGGGTTGTCTATATGCCTCTCGTGCCTGAACATGTGATTGCTTGCCTGGCTAAAATACATGAATCGTCTTTAATTGCTCCTATCTGTCTCCCCGCAGCTCTGGGCACTGATGCTCAGATTAAGAATGGTTTATTTTAGTTCAGTTTAAATTGTCTAAACTAAATTGAAATAAACCCGTTTAATTTGCAATAAGAGTGTCTGGTTACAGACTTTCCGTAAATAACAAAAGAGTCTAATTAAAAACACTCTAACTAATTTCATTGCCAGTTTGTGTGTAGACAAGCCCTCTTCCCATCCTCCCCAGCCATTTTGCTTATCTGGCTACAAATTGCAGGAACAGATTATTCATAACTTGAGTTAAGGAGACAAAACAAAAACAAACAAAAGGAAGTATTTCTTCACACAACGCAGTCAGCCTCTGGAACTCTTTTTTGCAGAAGATGTTGTGAAGGCCAAGTCTATAACAAGGTTAAAAAAAAAAAACCTAAATAAGTTCATGGAAGATAGGTCCATCAACAGCTATTAGCCAAGTTGGCAGGGATGGTGGCCCTAGTTTCTGTTTGACAAGGAATGGGCAATGGATCATTTGATGATTACCTGTTCTGTTCATTCCTTCTGAAGCACCTGCCACTGGAAGACAGAATACTGGACTAGATGGGCCTTTGGTCTGACTCAGTATGGCCATTCTTATGTTCTCTGTGACCTTACAACTTGCATACTGAAGCCCATATTTACATCTCAGTCACGCTGGGTATGCCTACACGGCAGACAGAAATCCACAAAGCACTGAGCCTCAGGGGCTGGGCGTACAGACTAGCTGTATAGATGTATGCGCTCAGGTTGGAGCTTAGGCTCTGAAGCCTGCCCCCCTCCCTAGACTTCAGAGTCTAAGCTGTAGCCCAAGCTCCAAAGTTTACACAGCTATTTTTAACGCTGTAGCATGAGCCCTAGTCTGTAGATCTGGCACTGAGACCTGCTGCTGTAGGTTTCTGCTTGTCGTGTAAATGTACCCATTGACATAAATTAAGGTCCCAGGGCTTAGGGCACTAACCTGGGACTTGGCAGATCCCAATTCAATACCTTACTCAGTCAGAGATTATCTGTGACCTTAGGTGAGTCACTGAGCCTCTCTGTGCCTCAGGTCCATGCTTATGCCCCTGTAAACATCCACAAAGCTCCCACAGTATCCACCTCAAATCCCTCCTCGACACTCTTCTTTGCCATGATATCTACAATAAACTTGATAACGGTTAGGTTGCTGATATGCTGAGACCACTGTCTATCATTTGTTTTCTTGTGGTCCCCCATCTGTCTATAGCTGTTGTCTCTTGTCTTACAATTTAAGTATAAACCCCTTGGGAGCAGGAAAGGTCTTTTTATTCTGTTTATACAGCACCTAGCACAGTGGGGTCCTGATTCATGACTAGGACTCCTAGTTACTATCGTAATAGAAATAAATGGTAAGTATTTCCCAACATCACAGATGTGTTCTGAGGATAAACACACTAAAATATTGTGATACACACTATGATAATGGGGGCCACATAAGTACTAAGATCAAGAGATAAATAGAATGGAGTTACTCTGGATTTATATTGCTGTACCTGTAAAAGGATTCACCCAGAATAATAGAGAGCTTATCATGACCCCTACCCTCAGTTATTGAACACCATCCAACACGTACACAGAAAGATGCAGTGATCTGGCGGGAAAAAGTATCGCTGTGCCATTATGAACTACACAATGTATACGCAAGGGACAGAGGTTATAGTTGTGTGTGTAAAGTTAAAGTATATGTAACCTTAACTTTGGCATTTTCTGACTTTTGAGCACTTACTAGAAAAATGTGAAAGCTGCAAAGTTTCATTAGAAGTAACTATACACCCCAGGTTCTTCTATTCTTCCCCTGTTGTTCAGAAATCAACTGTTGACCCTTTATCTCAGACTGAACTGGCATGGAACCTACAAGACTGCTGCTAACATTTTCTGTAAACTTAATGCTCCCATGAAAACACACTCCCTAAAGCAAAGCATTATAAAATCTTAAGATAACACTCTGTGGGGTGACCCAATGAATTTGGATATGCACTTACGGATGCCTTTTTGATCTCTAACGTTTACGGTCAACTTATAATAAATCAGAAGTGAATAAACCTGGGTTCAGTGTTTGTATATCACAAGCACGCTCTGCCTCCACCCAGATGTCAGGTGAACGTTCCGTGGAATCAGGCCCCAAGACATTACTGTTTTCATTTCAGGAATTTCTAACAGTTGGCATTGCTCACTTATTTTTAATATAGTTCAACTCACAAGAATTACTTTCAAAGATATCCTCTAACCATACAAAACTAACTGAGTTTTTTTTTTTTTGGCTTGATATATGGAACGCGGTACTCTATACAGCTAACAGAACTTCAAGCTGCACTTATTCATTCTTTTTATCTCCAGGTACTCTACCAGTTCCTCTGCAGGGGCTGACAGAGTGTGCTACCACTGGAGGTATCTTTCTGTATGACATCCAAAACTGAGGTCTAAAACTTTTCACATGAGTGAAGGTGTTAGCCCAAAGCTCCTTGCCAAATTTCAACTTGATTAATGTAATTGAGTCTCCTCAACATTGCCCAGGTAGTTTCAAATGTATGCAATACTCCTCTCACATTAAACGGTTGTGTGATGTACAAGTTCACACTTGAGTTCCCTGCCAAAAGTAACTCCAGTTCAGTGACAGGCAATGAAATTCTTACATTAGTTTGCTATGTGCTCTGAGGCACATACTGAAGTAACCAAACCTGCTACATTTCACTGTTGAAAAACATGATTTCAGACAAACATTTTAGACTTAGTTTTTCCATTTATTGGAATGCAAGGAAAGAAGAGCCACCCTACCTCATAAGAATGGCCATACTGGATCAGACCAAAGGTCCATCTAGCCCAGTATCCTGTCTTCTGATAGTGGCCAATGCCAGGTGCCCCAGAGGGAATGAACAGAACAGGTAATCATCAAATGATCCATCCCTTGTTGCCCATTCCCAACAAGGTGGAGTGCCCTTGTTAAATAGTGAGGATAAGAATAACACTTTTATGTTTTTTTGAATTGATTTTTAAAACATTACAAATATTTAATTTCCACAGAGGAAAGTTGCTTTAATTTTGGTAAATAGAGATTGTGGTGTGTAAGCGCCTTCTTCACCTCTGCATTACTGTCTGTGCACTGTTTGATGCAGGGGTTCTATGGAAAAGTAGTACATGTTGATGTAACTAGTGTAGATTGACATGCATACACATGGAGATAGAATAAAGGTGGCACAGGCAACCTCCACATTGTCATTTGTTGGCTTTTGAGTGCATCGCTTGCAACCGTAACACTGAGTGTAGTTTTTTTAGGGCACTATAGAAATTCAGGACCTGTTTATACTATAGCTTTGCTTTTGTACTGCAGTGCTGACCTGCAGTGTTCCCTGCTGTTCCAGATCTCTTGAGTATTGTGTTGAATTTTGTAATTTTATATATTTTTTGGTATTTACTCAAATGTGCATTATTGACTAGAGAGAGCTTGCTAGCGGAATCCTAACATTGGCAAAAGGCTGTGGCAGTAATCCACAGGGCCAATGAGTCCCCTTTTGTCCGTTGGTTTAAAGGACTGCATAATGACAGCCAGGCCTGGGCTTTTCAGTGCTTGTGGAAAGGTGCCATTAGTGCAGTGATGTGTGTTAGCAGCTTGTTTTTCCCCTCATATGAAGCAATGATTTACATAAATTGTTCTTAGCTGCACGCTCTGGAAGCTCTGTTTTATTGACTTTGGAGCCAAGAATAGTTCATTTAATTCCATCAAGCCAGTGCAGCTAATGTTTAATACAAATTGTGGCAGCTTGTTTTTTAACCTTGTGCACTTAAGATCTTCGGCACAGA